TCTCCCCTCCGCCCCGCTCCGCTCCGGACTTCCTCGCCGGCCGCCTGCTGCGGGACCATGCTGCGCTGGCTGCGGGGCTTCGCGCTGCCCCGGGCCGCCTGCCAGGATGCGGAGCCGCCCACGCGCTACGAGACCCTCTTCCGGGCGCTGGACCGCAACGGGGACGGCGTGGTGGACATCGGCGAGCTGCAGCAGGGGCTCCAAACCCTGGGCATCCCGCTGGGCCAGGACGCCGAGGAGGTGGGTGCCGCGGCGCAGGGAGGCGCGGGCCTCGGAGCCCCGAGGCCGGAGGGAGGGCGGCGGCCGGCTGCGCCGGGAAGGAGGCGCGGAGCTCCCAGCCCGCGAGGGTTCGGACTGGACTGGATCCCGGAGGCTGCGGGTGTTTTTCCAGTTCAAATTAGTGAACCGTCTGGCGGTGGGCGCTGTTAAAAATTTGAAACCCTGTCCCGCAACGCAACACTGCCTTTATCGTGCCTTGGCAAGCATTTAATGTATTTTTTTTAAAGCGGTCAGATTTAAGTGCGTTCCAAGTTCTGTAAAAGATACACTTTGTATCTCTTTGAAGTTGCTTTGTTTCACAGCTCAAATCGTTTACTGTTTCAAAACTGTTTGAAAACCAATAGTTCTTGTTGAGGAGAAATGGCGACATGCCACTATTTAAGGCGTTTTTGGCCGGGCTTGCTAGCGCACGCCTGTAATGCCAGCACTGGGGGAGGCTGAGGCGGGAGGATCGCAGTGAGTTCGAGGCCACCCTGGGCTACATAAGCGAGTTTAACCCCAGCCTGAACTACACTGTGAGATCCTGTCTCAAAACAAACAAACAAAAACACCAGAAAAACTAAACAAGAAAAAAAGACATTCTTCAGTTGATGACCTACATACACAGATTAATCTGAAAGGTGGACCTGTTGCTGAGTAATTTCACTTTCTCTGAGTCATTTTAATTGTGTCCCATATCATCCCCCTTAGCAGGGTGGGGAAACACTAGTGTTTGGACCGCCTCCAGCACTACTGAAGCACCAGAGGACAGCTGTGGCATGCTCTACCCAGAGGGAAAGTGGATTGGGTTACTATGAGGGCCAACAACCGCTCTGTAGTTACACATTTAAACTCCTCTGTCCATTTTTTAGTATTATAGGCCTCTTCACTTTCCTATGCTTAAATCAGGTTTGATGAGGTTTTTGAGAGGCGGGGAAATGCCCATTTTGCCCATGATTCACAGACTTTGTAAAAGTTCTGGCTGTATCTTTAGGGCGATTCTGTATTTTACTTCTGATCTGTCTGCTTTTGACCCACTTCGATTGGTTCGTCTTTTTTGTTCACACCCGGCAGACTTTGGGATTTTTTTGCTTGGGTGTCTTTTTATTTTCTATCACTGATTTCTGTTATTTCTTCCACTTTGGATTTACTCAGCTGGTAAATTTTTCTGACTTTTTGAATCAAATACGTAGCTCATTAATGTGGAGATATAATATCCCTTTAATAATTTCTTTAGCACATCTCACAAATATTGGCGGGAATTATTTAATTTTGTTTTTTAGTTTCAGGTATTTTCTAATTTACAATATAATTTCATCTTTGACTCAAAAATATTTGAGTGTGCTTTAAATTCTCTAATATATGTTTTTTTTAAATATGAATGAAATAGACAAACTTCTGGCAAAGTTATCAATTAAGAAAAAAGAGAAAGCAAATAAAAGTAGGGATTTAAAAAGCCTTTAATTTAACAAGATTTATAATATAAATTGTATAAAATGGTTGTAGGTAAACACACAAAATAGGATGGCATATATTTGTCACTGTAATATAGGTATATATTTGTACTATACATAAATTCTTTCATACATATATTCTTTTATGTGTTTGTACAAAATATATTTTATTTATACATGTAATATCACTCTCTGTACTCATGGCCAGGCATTATTCAACATTCCCAGGATTCTTTTTTTTTTGCTTTTTATTGAGGTAGGGTCTCGCTGTACAGTTCAGGCTGGCCTTGAGCACACTTTGTAGCCCAGGCTGGCCTTGAACTCTCAAGGATCCTCCTGCTGCAGCCTCCCAAGTGCTGGGATTACAGGCGTGTGCCACCATGCTGGCCTCTGGATTATTTCTTTTAACTGGCACACCCTTCTGTAAAAGATTAGTGATAGTTGTTTCTGAATGGTATAGGAGTTAGAATTACTTTTCTACTTTTTCCTTTACATTTTTTGTATTCTTTCAATTTAGAAAAATGCATGCACATTATTATATGAGTAGGGACATAGTTATTGATATTTTGGATAAATATCACCTCCCCTGTAGTGTGCCTTTCTGGGCTACCCTCTAAAGAAGAACTGACTACAAGCTACTATATCGGGTTAAATAACCCTTAGTTATTGCAGGCTGATCAGGCCCGCAATCTCCCAAGCGAGTGGATGGCAAAGGCTTAAATAAATGAGACAGTGGCAATGATTTCAGGGCTCTGGGAGGGACTAACTCTCTTACAGCTTCAGTATTCTCTGAGTTTAGCCAAAGACTTCTCTGGGCCGCCCGTACTTATTTGGTTTACAAACAAAGGAGGAGATACTCAAGAAAAGGCTGGCATCTGGGCAGGATTTTCCCAAGTAATACATTATGTTAATTTAGGAGAACTCTGTTATCTCCAGGAAGGCCTTCACAGCAGGAGTGAGATGCCTGCAGCTGCAGTCTCCTTGTAGTTAATTGGGGGGGCAGACAAGGTGCCTAAGCTTCAGACAACTCACAAATAAACACAGAAAGCCAACTGGTTAATATTCAATCCAGCTCAGAGCCACTTTGTAGTGGTCCCCCACACTACTATGTGTAGCCCCATTGTCTTTTATGTCACTACTGTTATTACTTTCAAATGGTATTATTTTAATTTGACTATTATGCTCTCCACTAAGATCATGCCTCTTGAGGATGAGGATCCCATCTTATACATCAAATCAAAGTAATACAGAAAGATTTAAGGCTATGATTTGAAATTCCTCAGCAAGGCAGTGGTTTATTTTATAATAATTTTAAAAGGGCGGAATTTAATTTTAAATCAGATTGTTAGTGTTTCTAGCATAGCTAGGTTCAGATAGCCAAAATACGTTGCATAATCCCTAGACATGCTGGATAAAATAAGAAGCGTCTATTTGCATGCATAACTAAATTTGTTAAAAAAAAAGGAAAATTCAGCCAGACTGCCTGAGTTTATATTTTGATTGTGTTACTTCTACTAGTTAGTTTTCCTTGGGCAATCTTCTTACCCTCTCTGGCCTCAGTTTCCTCATCTGTGACAGAGGTAACAATAAAACTCCGCACACAAAGTGTTATTTATTGTGAAGAATAAATGAATTAAGATATGCAAGTGCTTATAATAACACCTGGTACCTAATAAACATTCAAAAACTACTAACCTTCAAAACATCTAGCCCTGCTACTACATTCACTAGTGAAAGGAGGGTGTTAGTCTCTTTCTATGATTGTGGCCTTGTCAGCTTCTCTTTTCAATTCTGCCACTTTTTCTTTTTTCTCTTTTTGAGGCTCTACTACTGGTGTCTTCAAAGTTGGCATTGTTACATCTTCCTGGTGGAAATTGCTCCTTTAATCATTATACATTTTTGCCTGCCCTTGTAGGCAGAGTTCTGCTTTGGCTGCCTAGTGCTAGTACTAGGGTGTGCCTGGCCATTGGTTGGAGAAGCACAGGGCATGACTTGGCATGAGCTGTAGTGGGTCAAAGGTTTAAGGTGTGGCAGGGGTAGGCCATCCGTCAACTCTGCTTCCTTCTGCAGCCAGGTTTTATGCGGGCTGAGCTGAGCCGCTTAACTTCCTGACCACCATTGAAAGGAAGTGTGTTGGACAGATTGCTTCTTACGTAGCTTCATGAAAGAACCACTCCATGGTTCTTGGCCTCTCTTACAAAGGGAGGTCTTTGGTATGAACTACAGACCCTGTTGCTGTAGTTGGTGGTGACTAGTGCTCATTTCCTTCCTTGACTGTTGTCAACCTTGAAGCTATAATCTCTGTGGGTCTTTGTGACTCACTTCATTCTTGAGGGGTCTCAGCTTCCCAGGCTGACACTGCTGTATGTGCTCATTCGTCGGCCTAACTGTTGAAGGGAGAATCAGGCTGCATCCATGTGGGTCACTTCAGTTCCATCCATACCAGTCTCTCTCCATTGTGGCCTCCTACTGATTGTGTCAGTTTACATCTACTGAGATAGTGACTTCTTGTCTGATCATTCCAGGACACAAGGAGTTCAAAATGCCAACTGTAGCTCAAAGTTCAGTGGGACACTTGCTTGTTCCCTAACAAGAGTATATCCTATTTGGGGACCAGAAACTAACCCTGCAGAGCTGAGATTTGGGAACAGGAGGCAAAAAGTCCTCCAGTGGGCCATTGGGAGTGACAGTAAGTGAGGCCACTCCTGCTTCCACCTCTTGGTTGATGGACTGTCATTCTTCGATTGGGGCACCTCGTGGAGCCATGTAGAACGCTCCTTAGTGCATATGTGCATGCGGAAGGTGGCATGGCCTCTTTGTCAAATACTGTCTCTAGTAAGTTGTTCAGCTGTGCTTTTCTTTAGACCATTCCCGAATTCTGCGAGATTGGCTGCTTAGGCTGTGGTTTGAATTTGTGTGTTAGAAAGTTAGCTCCCCATTGTTTTTGTTAATGGTATTTGCAGAGGGGGGCCTGTGGAAGCAATTAGGATTTATTTGGTCGTTAAGTTGGGGCTCCCCTCTTTCAGCAGTGAGTGGCTTTCTAGCAAGAAGACTGTTGCTTACTCTGTCTTGCCATGTGATGTCCTCCTTCATGTTAGGATGCAACAAGAAGGTCCAGATGCTGAGCAGATACTGACACCATGCTTTTCGATTTCCCAGACTCCAGAATCACAAGCCAAATAAACTTTTATGCTTTATCAGTTACTAGGTCTTAGATATTTTGTTATAAGCACAGAGAATGGACTACGACATGTGGTACTATGTGATGTGGCCAATGACTTTCTTGGCTATTGGCCAACTTCCCCAGCTTATTTACTGTGAGCTGAACAGGCTATGTACCATGGTACCAGGACCCATGTTCTCACCTCAGGCCATTTTCCTTCTGTACAAAGGAAGGGGATCTTCACTGTGAAGATTTTCCTGCTCTTTTTAAATACATGTTGGTATAATGTAACAGCTGTGTGGTTTAACTTTAGACCTACATATTCAGCTGACCTTTCAGTAATCAGGTTCCAGATTTTTCCTCCTCAAACTAAGCTGTTTGCCACGTTTTCATAGGGACCACGCTTACTGTGTCTTAGGTGAGCTTTAGAATCGTAGATGGCATAGGACCTTGAGCTGAGAAAATTACTGTTATGGGCTGAATATTTATACCCCGTTCCTATGTTGAAATGCTAACTCTTGGTGTAGTGTTATAAGGAAATGGAACTTTGGTGGGTGATTAGGTGAGAGGATAGATAAAAGGGATTTTAGCCCTACTATGAGACCGCAGAGAGTTCCTTCGTCTCTCTCACCAAGTGAAGACACAGCGAGAAGAACCAAAAAGTGGGCCCTCATCAAATACTGAATCTGACAGTACACTGATGTAGGACTTCAACTTCGAGAACTGTGACAAATAAATGGTTGTTGGTGTAAGACAGTATGTATTTATAGTAGCCCAGTGAGGTCTCTTCTCACACATCTCCAGCTTCTCTGGCAGGAAGTTCATTCATATAGACAGAAATTGAGTTTTTTAAAAAAGAAGACACATTTGTACAATGTTAAGATGTAGAAGATCTTTTTCTTTTGGTAAGTAAGAAGTTTTTTGAATGATACCTTGTTTTGTTTGGCTCTTTACTATGAAAAGCGAGAGATGAATATACAAATGGGTAATGACTGGACTATAAGTAAAATTATAACTTTGACCCATAACCTGCAGCAACTAGGCCCTTATCTACCGTAAACAGACCAGGAATCCAGCCTGCTATGTTAAGCTTCTAGTAAGTTAGATTGCTATCTCTCGTGACAATCCAGGAGCGTAGGCAGTAACTTCTTTACAATCAGACTCAAATGACCAGGACTTGATTAATAAAATAAAGACTCCTGATATTCACACTGACAGGTTCTGTAAGTTTTGAGTTCACTTCAAATTTAGGACCAATCAAAGCAAGCACAATGTGCAGCCTCAGTCAAACAGAATGCTTGCTTTGTAATTAGCATACAGCTTCCCCAGGCAGACACCCTCGGTTCTAGGCACATCTGAAAGCTCCGTTTTCCTACTGTACAGTTTCCCAGTATTCTGCCCACCATTAAACCTGTCAAAACACAAGTGACAGTGGCTGACTACCTTGCTGTAGTAACTTTTCATGATAGCCTTTGCTTTTCTTGTTTGGTTGGTTTTCACTTACTTCCACAGAGGGATATACAAGAAAATTCAAAAGAGAGATCTTAGTCTCTTGTATTTTTGCTAAATTGAAGTCATTTGGTGATTGTAACTGCATGAGAAAAGTTGCAAAAATACATGTTTTTTTTTTAAATTAAACTTTTAAAAGATAAGGTCAGGGGAGATTTTCTAATTTGGGGAATTTAAAGGAAAAACACTATGTTAGACAGTTCAGTCTTATGCTAAGCCAAGTGTTTGACTTCCATCTTGTGGTTTATAAGTATATGTCAAGAAATTTAGGGTGTGATTAATTAGCACTAAAAATGTTGTGTTTTGTAGAAATAATTATTTTTCTAACTGAAAGTGTAACATAAGATCTGGAGTCTTTTGCAGTAGAATACTTTTATTACGGATTTGTGCCATGAATTTATCTGGCCTTCAGGTAGTCTTACAGGAAAACATCCAATCTGCTTGAAGGATATATATAATTAATGTAGTACAGTTGCCCATGATGACAATAAAATATCTGTATTTTTTTTTTGTAGAAAATTTTTACAACTGGAGACGTCAACAAAGATGGGAAGCTAGATTTTGAAGAATTTATGAAGTACCTTAAAGACCATGAGAAAAAAATGAAATTGGCATTTAAGAGTTTGGACAAAAATAATGATGGTGTGTGTTTTTCTTTTGTTCCTCAACATCTATGAAGAAGCACTTCTCATGCTTCTAAGAGTCTAAAATGATGTATATTTTGTCTTTTTTTGTAGATGGTAATTATTACTCGTGTTATTATATATTTTAGCAATGTAATTTTTATGTGGAGTTCATACTTTTTCGTGAAGAAAACCGATAGATAACTTTGTCTACTATAACTAAGAGTAATTATAAAATGTTAACTACAGAACATTATGCTGGTTTGACTTAAAACTATGGGTTAAAAATAAGTATGTTTTCTTGCCCTCTCAGAAGTGGTCTTTATTTTGTTCAAATATAGGCACGTATTGTATATGCTAACATTTTTAAACTTTCAAAATATTTTACATTAGATAATTACATTACATTAGATAATTGAAAAAATTACTTTGGAGAACATAGTCTCTGATTCTGAAAATTAGAAAAAAAATAGCATGTACCCATTTGAGGATGTACTTTCTGGTTGGGCTTATGGCTTCTGCGGAGTAATTGCTTCGAGTTAAGAGTCCCAGGTATGTAGGGTCAAAACCCTGAAGGTTATAGTAGGAGTAATGGAAGAGTCAAGAAGCCCCTGTCTTCAGAGGCAACCTTTGATAGAAAGAACGAATTGTATTAAAATTATAACAGCCTCAAACCTCTTCCCTCCTTGTGAAGATTCAGAGTCATTCTATTTACAGTTTGTTATTCAAGAAACAAGGTGAACAGGTAGGTTGAGAGCAAATACATGGGACTTACCTCACCAGGACAGTGTGTAAAAATTGGGCATGGCTGGTTCCAACAAAACTTCACTTATGAAGACAACAGGCATTATTTGGCTTTAGAATTACAGTTTTGCAGCTCCTGGTTTATAATGAACATAAACTTCAGTTAAATTCAAACAAACAGCTAAACCCTTTGAATGGTTCTGTTGATGATTCAGGTCTATGGCTGTTAGCCGGGAAGAGCTGGTTGTACTATTGGAACTTTTGTGGCCTGTAATAAACTGTACATTGTATGTTTCTAAGTCTAGTCTTAGTCCTGTCTTCAAGCAGAATTCACTTCTTTTCATCAACTTTTCTTCCTCCTTGGGAATGTTGGTCCCAACCTGGACCCTCAGTAGTTCAGTTGCAGGGATCATACAGTTAGGACAGCAGATAATTGGGAGATAAACCTAGCTGAGGATCAACTGCCAGATAATTAGTGGCTGTCTTAGTTACTTTTCTCGTTGCTGAAACAAAATACCTGACACCCAGAGTTAAAGGAGGAAAGGTTTATTTAGCTCACAGTTTGTAGAGGTTTTAATCCATAATCCAGTGGCTCCATGGCCGGGTGGCATGTGGCAGAGGGGCAACCGTTCGTGGTGGTGGAAGACAGTAAAAGCAACAAGAGAGTGAAAGACAAATCTCTTTCCCTCCCGTATATTATATGCAGGCTACCCGCCCTAGAATGGGTGTAGCACTCACACCTTTAATCCCAGCCTTGGACTATGAATCAGTCACAAACTCTAGATTCAGCCACCTCCAGAAATCTCATCCCCACCCCATGACCACATGAGGGTTTGGGGTACCATCCAGACACAAACCATGACAGTGGTTAATCATTTGAATATGTAAGTTGTTTATTTCAGAAAGTTCTAAGTGAAATAAAGATGAAATTTTAACGAGACATTGGTAGTAAATGTCAGCAATGTCCCTGTAATTTACTTTTCTGTATATTTTGAAAGAATTTATTTTTATCAGACTTCCTTAAAGCAAAGCATATCTAGTTGATCTTCATTATTTGTGGACTCTGTGGATTTGCTGCTTACTTGCTAAAATTTAACATTGAAAATTACCCTAAAATGTATACTGACAATGCTTTCTCAGTCATTCATGGACCTGCACAAGGCAGTGAAACATCAGTGCAGTATGCACACTCCTAGCTGAAGGAGAATATGGTGACAATTTGCCTTCTTAGTTTAGCTTTCAGAATGTAAACGAGTATCCTTGTGGAGGTCTCTTTCCATGCCATGTTTTTTGTTGTTGTTTTGTTTGCATTTTGTACTTCCTTTGGGAGGATAACTTTGCTTTTTAAAATGTTCTGTCTAGTGCTTCTAAATACCAGGAGGCAATGGTGCAGGGAAAATATGTGCGTTAGATAAGTTTGCCAGATTCAGTGTTCGTGAATCAACAGTGTGGGTTAAAGGAGGTGTCTTTAAACAGACGCGCACGTGAGACAAGTTCAGGTACTAATCTGTTGATGAAAATGTGATGGGAAGCTTGCAGGAACTTCACTGCGTGTTCCCTGTAAGAGCAGTGGTTCAGGTATTTGCTAATTAAGTGTTTGCAGTGGCTTTGTGAAGCCCATGACTGCTTTGAATACGAAGAATTGCTGGGGATTTAGCTCAGCGGCACAGCACCTGCCTGGCAAGCGCAAGGTCATGAGTTCAATTCCCAGTATCAGAAAAAAACGAAGAATTGAGTGTACATCTTTAAGAGTATGGTTGTAAAGAGGAACATTCAGAGTGGTGTTTGAAGAATTTTACTGCTACAGTTGGTTCCTCCAGCTGTCCTCAAGGTATCCAGATTCTCATGATGTTTTCCTTTCCACAGGATTGTCAGAATCCCGTCACTTCTTTAAGATCCCTTTCCTAGATGAAGTCATTCCCTTCGCCCTTCACTAACAGTATTTTATGTCTGCTTTTCCTGAGAAAAGCAGTTAGTCCTGCTTGGGCAGCTTTCTGTCATTCTGTTTTGCTTCATCCTAGTTCAGGTAGGCCAGTGTGAGCTGCGCCAGGGAAATGCAGAGTTGCTTACATCCATGGCTTATACTTTGTTTACCCTCTCTTCCTTCTGCTTGATCTCCTCTCCACAAGTGTGACCTGATTTCCCCAATACTAAACATTTTTCTCTTCCATTACCCTTCTCTCCTTCCTCTGTGTTTGCTGCCAGGTTTACCAAAGAAGAGTGGATGCTCTTTGGCCCCATTTCTTCATTTTCTACATTATGTGGAGTTCATACTTGTAGTGGAGAAAACCTACAGCCGTGCAACTTCACTCATAATGAACATCTAATCATTTATTAAAATCTAGAAATAGATACTTTTTAAATGAGTAGATCCTAGGTTAATTGAGTTCACCTCAGAGTCAGATGTTAATTTGAATCTCTGTTGTGCTTGGTTTGAGCCTCTCACCCACAAAGGCTACTGGAGCTCTTGGCCTCTTGTTCAGAGGAATATCAGTATTTATCTACAAGATTATTATCATTATTGAAATAAAGTATGCCTACTGGCTTATGTATTTATTAAGTTTTGCATACTGATGTTGCAGTATGTAGCTAAGCAAATTATAATTTTGGTTTAATTATTTCAAAGCTTTCTCTTAAATGAGTGATTTGAAATTCACATTTCCTAAGGTTCTTTTCAATGCGGAATTTATGCTGTTTTTATATTTTTAAAGGAAAGATTGAAGCTTCAGAGATTGTCCAGTCTCTCCAGATACTGGGTCTAACTATTTCTGAAAAACAAGCAGAGCTGATTCTTCAAAGGTAAGCTCTTCATCTTATTGACAATTGTTTTTGAGTTTGATATCCTGCCTTAGAGATACATGTTCATATGTGTGGCTCTAAAATTCCTCCCTGTACCTCACCATTCCTCATTGTATGCATCCATTGTCTCTCCCTTCCCTTTGTCCCTTTTCATTTTGTGTGTGCACATCCGGGTCTACAGTACATTAAGTCTCTGACTTACAGACGTTTGATGCATTGGTAGATGCGAACAAATTGCAGAAGTAGCCGGACATTGTCACAGCTGTGCTGCTGTGTGATTCCTGCACAGTGCGACGGTGTACAGCGGTACAGTGCTCAGTCAGAGCTCAGGATGTCTGGAAGCAGGAGGAAAAGCAGTGATGATGTGGAGGAAGCACAAAGTACATAGGTTGTTTGTTTGTGTAAATGTGTGTAAGACTCTCTTTATGAGACTTGGGAAAGCGTCTGACTTACGATGTTCTCCTTGCTTTGTAGAAATGGGGGCAGGAACTACTCTTTCTTGAAAAGCAGTGGTAGTGGACAGCAGTAATGAGTTAAATCCAGAGATAAGGAGCAAGAGTTTGGGTGTTGGTTTTTTCTCCTCATTTCTTTTCTAGTGCCTCACTTGAACTGGTTTCAAGATAAAGAGCCTAGCATATTGTTCAGGTTGTGTAACCTTGGGTGACTTGATGTGAGGGAAATTCCAAAGCTCTGCTAGCTAACAGAGAAATACTGATTTAAATTCATAGAACACAGAGATGCCTGTTTGATCATTACTGTCCAGGGTGTCCAGTCAGTTTTTAGTGAGTCAGACTCTTACAGGCCTAATGCTTTATTTCACAGAATAGAGGCATAACCCCTGAAGTCCAGGTACTTTTGAAAGGATGATTACATTATAGTACTGTTCTTGTGAATGTTTTCAGCTCTCACATTACTAAAAAAGTTTCTTCTTCATAGCTTTATTGTTAGGTTCATCTCCTTTTGTATCTGTATATTCCCTCACAGAAGTACTTCTCTCTTGTGGGAAAATACATTAGCATTTTCTTCCTTTCCATCTATTCTGAATTACTTTTATGAGAACCTTTCTAACAGAAAGGCTTTCCGTAGGAAATGAAAATCTAAAACAAGAAAAGAAAGTAGAATTTTGACCATGGGATACGGAGCATGTAAGATTCTACTTCTGAAGTCATGTTCACACAGGAAAGTGAGGGTTTTCCTATTGTTCTAGTGCCTATTCCCGTATTCCCTTAAGTGGCTTTAGGAATAATGCAGATTGTAAACAAGCTACAGAATAGATCAAGGTATATTTATTGGCTTGGGATGGTATAACAAAATTCTGTAGACTAATATACACATCTTAATGATTTACAGTTCAAAGAGGAAATCATAAATGGAAATTGAAGGATATTTGGGCTTGAGAACATTAAACTTGTGTAATATTTCTAAGGTGGTGCTTGAGGGGAATTTTATCATCTTAAATCTTTTATTAAAAATGAGTAAGGCTGAAAACTAATGGCCTAATAAGTTAAGGGAGAGAAACCAAAATAATCTCAAAGAAGGTAGAAGGAAGAGATAATAAAGACAGCAGTGGAACTAAGTGGCAAAATCACAGAAATAGGACCAAAAAAGCCAAAAGTTGGTTGTTGGAAAAGACAAACCTCTGGAGAGATTTTGGGAAAAGAGAAATGAGATGTGAATAAGTTATGTTTGTAAACAGATGCATTAGAAATTCTAAAAAGACTAAATGTTATGAATAGTTTTATGCCAATAAATTAGAAAATATATAAAATAGATGAATTTCTAGAAAAATGTAACTTGCTTAGTTGTATCAAGAAGTAACCAATAGTACCTAAACAAAGAGACTGCATCAATAATTAAAATTTTTCTCAGAATGAAACTTTAGTACCAGATAGTTTTAGAAAACTATCAAAGAACAGAACTAAGAGCATTTCCAAAGTGTAGAAATACATCATCCAATCTTTCCTGCAAGACCACTGCAACCGTAATGCCAAAAACAGACAAGTTAATGAAGGAGACGTATTATAGGTTGATACGATTTATGACATAAATGTAAAAACTTCAAGAAAATATTAGCAGATGGAATCAGCTGTATGTAAAAAATACACTTGTATGTAAACAATACATTTATATGAATAAGGTAAAATTTCACTAGATGATAGATATTAAAGACTCAGTTTGGAAAAGATATGCTTTTTCTCTAAGTTGCTGATAGAGATTTCATACCATTGAAAAGAACCTATGTGCTTCTTTTTTGTGGAACCTGTCAATTTTAGCCTCAAATTTATACCAAAGAGAAAAGATAGAAGAATAACTAAGATAACTAAGACATTCTTAAAGAACGGAGGAATTGGAAGTCTGCCCTCATAGATATTAAGATTTGTTACTAAGGTGCACTTAGGACAGTGGCATTGCTGTAGAAATAGATAAGTTGACAAGGGAAACATAATAGAGATACAGACCCACCCATATTTTGGATCTATCACATCAGAGAGGTAGCTTTGCAAAACTCTAGGAAAAGGAGAAGCTACAAAATAAATGGTGCTATGCACAAAACTGCAATTGGACACCTACTTAACACCTTACACAAACATCACCCTAACGTGAAAGTTAAAGTAGGTCACTGTTGAGGGGCTGAAAGGAGTGTCTTTATCTCAGAGTGAGAATTTATTTTTAAAACAATCCATAATGTGCCAAAAATGAAAAATAATGACAAATTCAGATAAACTCAGGTAAATTAAAATTATAGCATCTATAGTTGAACACCATAAATAAAGTGGAAAGACAGAAGGATTATTTGCCAACTTGTAACTTGAAGGTTTAGAGTCAGTTATATGAAGAACTGTGAGTAAGCAAAAGATGTACAACCCATTAAAAATGGACAAAAGACATGAAGCAGCATTTCATTCAGGAGGAAATGTGAATAGCAAATAAATATGGTAATGGGTGCTCAAAAGCATTAGCATTTGAGGAGAAGTGCAGTTCAAACATACAGTGAGACTATCTTACCTGAGAATTTTGGCAATACTAAGTGTTCCTTGGCCTTACACTACAAAATTTGAAATTCATTTATTCATTCAGTGTATATTTAGTCTGTGCCATGCACTCTTCTAGATGCTTTGTTTATATTAGTGAATGAAATAACAAAACTCCTTGCATTGTGGAGGATGATCTTGTGTGGGAGATTAACAGTTTGGGTCAGGTAATTAAAAGAGAAAATAGTGGTAAGAATACAGCGACAATTGTTGCAACCCAGAATGATATAAACCTACGTAATGACCAGGATTCTTATGCAGGGGTGGAATGTTAATACTATATAATTTATATATGCGGGTTGAAGTATAAAATAATACTTAGAAAACATAATAATAAATAGCTTAAGATTGCATTTCATTTACTGCTATCTTTATGAATAATTTCCACACAAATTGTAGAATAAAATTGAGACACCAAAATTTTTTTTTTGGAGACATTAATTAATTTAACAAATAAATTAGTACTTTATGTCCATTGGCTTAGGATGTGGTTGTACTGTAGTGAAAAAGATAGTCAAAATTATGGCACAATTCTTTGTTATTCTCAGGGGAAAAAATTGGATACAAATGGCTTTAATGCCAAACCTTATAAATCAAACAAAAACTTTTTGAGATAATAATGTGTTAATTTTAAAATTGAAGATGACATAGCAGGATTTCTTGTCTAGTTGATCGATTTGTGACAGTTGGATATTGGGTTTTCTCATTACAATTGTATTAGTGCTTATTTGATTTTTTTTCATATCCATTAGTATTTGTTTTATGTAGTTGAGTACACTGGTATTTGGTACATATGTATTTATAATTGTTATCTCTTCCTTTTGGGTTGTTCCCTTTACAAGGATATAGTGACCTTGTCTCTTTTAGTCAGTCTTGGCTTGAAATCCACTTTGTCTGTAAATAGAATAGCTGCCCCTGCTTTTTTCCAGGTTCTTGTTGCATATAGTATAGTTTTCCATCGTTTGACTTTCAGTCTATGCATTTCTTTTTGAATTAAATGTGTTTCTTGTATGCAGCATATTGTTGGATCTTACTTCATGATCCATTCTGCCAGTCTGTTTCTTCTGATTGGTGAATTGGGACCATTAACATTGATGGTTATAACTGATATGTATTGACTTATCTTTGTCATGTTATTTTTCTCTTGTTGTCTCCCTTTTACCCCCTCTATTTAATTGCTTCCTTGCCTGGTGGATTCATTCTGTTGGGCTTCATGAAGTGGTAATCCTTGTTATTTTTTTCTAGAATGTCTTTCAGAGCATTCTGGAGTACTGGTTTGGTAGTCATGAATTTCTTCAGGTGTTCTTTCTCATGGAATTATCTTATTTCTCCATCAGTTTTGAAAGATAGTTTTGCAGGTTTATCAGTCTGGGTTGGAAGTTGCTTTAGGGCTTGAAATGCTTCATTCCAAGGTCTGCTTGACTTGAAGGCTTGTGTTGAGAACTCAGCTGTGATTCTGACAGGCTTTCCTTTATAGGTGATTTGTTTCTTTTCTCTAATAGTTTTTAATATTCTGTTCTTATGTTGAATTGCTCAAATCTTGACTACTACATGCCGTGGTGTAGATTTTTTTTTTTATCATGGCTAATTGGAGTTCTATATACCTCACTTACTCTATGTCAAATTCTTTTTCCTTGTTTGGGAAGTTTTCTTCCATGACATCTGTGAATAGGTTTCTTAAGCCATTTGGGCTATCTCCTGCTTTTTCATATGTTACTCTTCTTTTCAACATCTAGAAGCTGCTGGATTGATTTCTCATGGTCCCTTGCTGTTTTTAAGAAATCCTTCTTTTCTTGCTTGCCAACTGCAATCTTGTTTTCTGTATCTGAAGTTTTGTCCTCACATTGGCTCATAGTGCTGCATATACTTTCAATGGAATTTTTCATCTCCTGGATATCTTTTTGAATCTGTTTCATGGATTCTGTTTCTTTCCTGTGTTGGGCCTTCATGGTTTCCATCATTTTCCTAAGCTCCTCTATTTTTTTTTAATCTCTGTCTGCTCTAGTGTTACTAAGCCTGTCTTTCATTATGGTCACCATCTCTGTAGTTATCTGAGAAATTATTTCTGATTTGATTTTTTTCTGGAGCCTCTTTCATCTGCTTTGTTACTTCTGCTGCTACCACTTCAGAGGGTCCAGGTGGGTAGCTTTCTGATTGTTGTACCTCATTGCCCCTGGGTTTGCCTTTGGTGAACTATAGGAGTTGCATCTTTTTTAAGTGTCTTCTCTTCCTTTTTTTTTTTTTTTTTTTTTTTTTTTTTTTTTTTTTTTTTTTTTTTTTTTTTTTTTTAGTTTTAATGTCTGAGTTGATGCTTGTAAATAGCCTATGGCCAGTACTTTATTGCTAGTATTTAGAACCCTTAGGAAATGACTGCTTCTCAGAGGTGTCTTTCAGGTGTTGCTGGGTTTTGGGTTTTAAGTCTGTTGCAAGATCTTACCTCTTCAGTTTATTGGTCATAAGAAGTTGACCAAGAAGTTGCCTACTTGGCCCAGCCCCTGGTTTTTTGGCACCAGCCCATAGTATTTTCTTTGACCTTTGAGCAGTCTCAGTCTTGGTATACCATGAAAAATAACTGATTAGAGCAATTATGTTTCCTTGGCTAAAGTGGTGCAATCAGCAATAACAATAGCATCAAACACAGCCTAGAAAATGACAAACTGAGGTCAATATTAGTTTGCCACTTTTAACATGACATAGATTTATGGTTATATAACAAAATGAACCAGAAAATTATGTGCAGCAAATAAGCCCTCAATGTGACAATTTTACCCTGAGAGCGGAAAATTTAAATGGTGTTAGGACAAAAAAGTAGAAAAATAGAACAGAAAGAGATTAGAAGCAAGGCTGGTGAACAAAAGAAGATCATGTAAACTTTGGGAAACTGGTGAAGAAGATGAGGGAAAGAGAGAAGAAAGAAATAAAAACAAGAACAGTATAGCACAACAACAAAACTAGAAATATGTTCACATTCATATAAAAACAAGAAAAGAAACATCCAAAAAAAGAAAAGAGAAAAAATATTAGAAAAGGAGAAAAAAGAAAGAAGAAAAGAAAAATAAAGTCCACTTCAAGGAGAGTCTCTGCTGTTACTGGTAGACAGTGTGGGCAGAGAGAGTCTAGATCCAGGTTGATTAATACCAGCGAGCCTGCTGCAGCTTTATGGCAGGGTAATGGATAGTCTCAGTGAACGTACACCTTTAGTTTCATTGAAGTTCAGGCTGGTTTCTGGCTGTGAGCCCAAAACAGATTTGTTGAGCCTACAGCAGTCCTGCTGGCTTAAGCTTGCTCCTGCTGGCTTGCACTCAGCTCCTTGCTGACTTGAACGTGGCTCTCTGACTCCATCACTGGGAACCACTAGATGGGTCTTACAGCTATTTTGAGTATTGAGCTCAGTTGGCCCCTTTCCAAGATGGCTACCGGCCAGTCACCCTCTGTTGGGGGACATCTGAACCCAAATAACTCACCAGCCTCTGTAGTCCACTGTGTCCACTGCTCCATTCCACCTCTGCATTTCTCTGTAGGGGCCCCTGGGGTCACTAGTAGTCACTGTCTTCAGGTTTGAGCCACCCTTCCCACACAGTGAGTCCAGGCTTAGGGAGAAAGTGCCATCTACCACCTGCTTGTTCTTCACTGCAGTCTCTCTCTTTGTTCTCTCTGTGGGTTTCAATTCTTGCTTCAGATCCTTCCTGGGTCCAGGGGACCATCTCCCTACTTCTGTTCCTCATGTTGCTGTCTTCCAGTGTCTGGACACCAAATCTCAGGCTTTTTCTCAGGTGCTCACCTCTCTGCCACCTTCCTGAAAGTCTGAGGTAGTAGGATTTCTTAAGACTCAAAAGGCCTGGGCATAAAGAGTTTGTTGTTTTACAGTAACTACTAATTTTCTTAACTTGATAGGAATTGGAAAATGAAACTGATAGCATATTTTGAGTATATTTCAAAATCACATCCAAATGTTACAAGCAACTGTTGAGAAATTATCTTCCTGAACCAGGGTAAGAAAAAAATGATCATGAATCCATTGAGTACTACCTGCCAGTATCTCATTGTCCATTTTTTTTATTTTATAGGTGATTGACTTAGAGTTTGACAAAGTGTTGAAGGTAGTCTTTAGTGAGTACCATGTAATTTTAGGGTCCATTTTTTATCTAGATTGTTATAATTATCCAAGAGGACTGTAAAATGCTAGCTGCTATTTCTATCACCTATATTCATTAATGGGATTTCTAAAATTAAATAAGACTATTAAATTGGAAAAAAATGACCAGTAAGGCAGTTTTATCAATTATATTGTTTTCTTCAATTATCTTTTAAAACTCAGCATTGATGCTGATGGGACAATGACAGTGGACTGGAACGAATGGAGAGACTACTTCTTATTTAATCCTGTTACAGATATTGAGGAAATTGTCCGTTTCTGGAAACATTCTACCGTAAGTGTGCTTTACTTTTTGGAGCTGTAAACCGTAGGTATAATTGTTATGCAAAAACACTATATAACACTTAAGGGACAGGGTGTCCAAGTCCCAGCAGAGTCATAGTAGTTCCTTAACTTGTAGGGTTCTGTTTGTACTGATAGGCATAGATTTATAGAATATCTTAAAACCCCCCCAAGACTGTAAACATAGCTATTCTCAAAACTTAGAAGAAGTACAACCTTGAAGAATAAGCTCCCCAGCTTTTATTGGCGCTTCAATATCTGACCATAGGGAAACCTAAAAGTCATAGGCTTTTATTTTTTATAGATACATTTTGCTCAGATGGTCTCAAAACCTCATGGTAGGTAAGGATTTATTTCCTTGGTCATTCATGATAAAGATCTCTCCTGAAACTGGCTTGTTAAATTGCCTAGATTTATCTCTGCTGTAAGGCATATAAAATAATGATTGAAGATTACAAAATCCTCTTGGCTCATTTGCTCAGCAGTATGTTATGAATTCTGTACAACTTTCAAATTTTGAATAGATTCATTAATATTCTGCTAAAGTATATTTGTGTAAATATATTTTAGCAGTTGTGCAATCTTCTCCCCAAACCATTGGGAACTCTCTGGAGGAATTTTTTTTCCTAATAGGTTTGTCTCCATGGACTTTAGTAAATTTAATATGCACTAAATGAAGCCTAGAGTTCAATTTGCTGCTAGAAACAGTGTCCCAGCTCAAACAGGGTATTATAAAATGGTCATCTTCATCCATGAGCATAAAATAGTATTGTATTAGTAATTCCTGACCAGGTAAATTTTATACTTAGTGATTTTTTTTTTTGGTTTTTCTCCGGTACCAGGAACCGAACTCACGACCTTGCGCTTGCCAGGCACGCGCTTTGCCACTGAGCTAAATCCCCAGCCCTTAGTGATGTTTTATACAAATGTACCTAGTACTTGATGAGATAAATTTTATACTTATGTGACATTTCATTTACATGATTTTTATTTTATGTTGGGGATAGTTGGTAACAAGATTATAATCCTATGTCCATTTTATTGATAGTAAAATGAAAGGGAAGAGAGGATTACTAAAGCATAGCTCTTTACTGTTATACTTTTGCCTATAAAATCTTTGATGTGAAAATCTTTTTAAAAAAATTTTCTTGCAATGCCAGGATCAAACCCAGGACCTTAAGAGAATACTAGGCAAGTGCTGTATCACTGAGCTACATTCCCAGGCTCCAAATAATTTCAACAATAAAGTTGTAAGACTAATGTCGTTTTATTTTATTTTTATTTTTACTTTTTATTTTTTGGGTACTGGGAATCGAACTCTGGACCTCATGCTTGCCAGACAGACATTGCACCACTGAGCTAAATCCCCCTAATGTCATTTTAGAACTTTGATTTTCTCAAATTATATGTGTAGTCTATAGTAATGTTTAGAATGAATTGGAGAAGTGACCATTTCATAGCTACTTTTAGAAAGAATCCTTGTTAGCTACTTTTATAAGGAATTTATTATATGTTTTAAGTGACAAATCATATTTATAAAAATTATCTATGGTCGGTCAGTGTAAGATGAGGTAAGGTACTTTCTTGTATACAGTTTTTCTTTTTAATTCTTATTTATATATTTAAAGCATGTATCATGGTATAAAGTATAATGTGGGTATAATTTTGAGAAAGGGTATCTTTGAAGAGTTATAAGCTAATTTCTTAACAGATGTTATCATCAACTGGACATGGTTTTCTAGCATTATGAAAATGGATATAACAGAAAGGAATTCACACTATCTGATGATAAAAGCTATCCTTTCATTATAACTTAGACCAACATGAGAAAAGTCATGCAATCTGTAACAAAAAGAGAGTTGTAATAACTGGTTTTGTAGATTTATTATTATTGTAAATTTTAATTTCTTATGAACTGATACTGGATTATGTTTTGTATGAATAGACTATAACCATCTGTGTGCTCAAGTTGGTTCATTATAACCACTGAAGAATAAAGTTGATCTTAACTTAAATAACACGATTCTTTTCTAGAACAAAACAAAAAAACTAAGCTTTATCCATTTTTAATTGAAACAATGTGGTGACTTTTTTTCCACTTTGACAGGGAATTGACATAGGGGATAGTTTAGCTATTCCAGATGAATTTACAGAAGATGAGAAAAAGACTGGGCAGTGGTGGAGGCAGCTTCTGGCAGGAGGGATTGCCGGTGCCGTCTCGCGAACAAGCACTGCTCCTTTGGATCGCCTGAAAGTCATGATGCAGGTAAGCCTGATGGTCTGGTCTGCGTCTGGGTTTGACTCAGTATTCTAAAATTCTGAAAAATGTGGTTCATTAAAAAGGAAGCTTCAAATTCTCAGTAATAGTTTTTCATATATATATGTTTTACTTTCATATATATGTATTAAACTTTGATTTCATTGCTATTAAATGTTCAGTTGAATCTTCAGTTGTTGGTACATGCATATAATCAATTTTCATCTTCAGCATTCTGTGACTTTTGTTTTTCTGGGACTGGAGATTGAACCCAGAGCCTTTGCACCAAGCTACATCCCCAGCCTTTATTTTTGGTTTGAGATAAGAGTCTCACTAATTTGCCCTGGTTGTGCCCCAACTTGCTTATCATGCTCCTTCAGCCTCTGTCAGTTCCGGGTCACTTGAGAATATATATATTTTCAAGGTAGGCCTATAGTGGCCACCTGCAGAGTCGGGGTGGAAGAATGCCAAAAGGCCGTCCATGCGCTGGAGAGCTGGAGTAGCTGGTGAAAAGTCCTGGAGCTCACTGTGGAGTCTGGTGCAGTCCGTAGCAGCAAGCTGAAGAGTCTGTGCTGGAAGGCTGAAGAGTCTGTGCTAGAACCCTGAAGGAACGGGAGATGGACCTCCAAAGGCCGTGGTGAAGACTGCCAGGACTGGAGCTCCACTGAAGAAACAGAAGCGGGACAGACTTCCTTCTTCTTTCCCTTTTATTTCATGCAGGCTACAAGCCTGTTGGTTGGTGTCTCCCACACCCGGGGTGGGTCTTCCCTTTTCAGTCAGTCTGTCATCCAGACATACCCACAGCTGTGCTCCGCTAGTCTGCCAGTTGTTCTTCAAGTTGACACTGCAGTTAACTCTCATAGCCTGGCAGAGTGCTGGGACTGTAGGTGCACATCCCCATGTGCAGTTGGCTACTGAAATAGTTAATAAAAGGAGATCTGTGGTCATCACTGTATTTTCCTTCTTTTTCATGTACTTTATCAAAAGTGGAGCATTTCTGATCTAGATTGGGATAAGGGTGAAATTTTGACAGTTATTCTAAGGGTGAGGTTAGCAGGAAAAAGACCTCGATTTATAGACTTTGCTATTTACTTGTAGTGTGTCATTGGGCTTGCCAGAGTAGAAAGAAGGAGGGAAAGCAAAATAATATTTATTTGGTGTTCATAATGCTAATTCATTTAATCTTTATAGTAGCTCAATGAAGCTGGTATTTTATCTTTACTTTACCTACAGGGAGTTGAGGCTGACAATTAAATATTTTCCTTTGCAACAACTGAGATAAGGAACAGAGAATATCTTTACCAAAGCCTTGTGATTTTTACACTGCATGAAACTCTGCAGTCTCATCTTTCTTCATTGTGAAATGGGAGTAAAAATACCAGACAAGAGTAGCTGTAGGAATTAAACATTTAAAGTGTGGGAAAATGCCTGGTACCTTGGAATAACCAGTCGAACATAGTAGTTGCTTGAAAATGTTTTTAGAAGTTGTATTTGTTAAACCTAGGTTAACACCTTTCATATTTGTCCTTAGATCTTTCTACAGAATGGCATCTGATAACATTTCAAGCTGTCTACCAAAATCCTCAATTTATTTAGGGACAAAGGTAGTGCTTTAGAGAAAAAGGGTAGGGATTGGTTACATGTTTTTCTTTAGGAACAATAGCAAATTGACTTCAAGAGAGCTTGAATAAACATTCTTCTTTTCCTTCATATTTTATTATGAAGCTAATTTATTTTTTATTATGAAGCTAATATTTTATTATGAAGCTAATTTATTTTAAATAAAATGGAGTTTTTCAGGACTTCAGTTTCTGCAAATTTGAGGGGTTCCCAGAATCACCTTGGGGTTTGCGACTGCTAGGACTCAAAGAACTTGACTGAAGAATGCGTACTCAGGGTTATGGTTTATTACAGATGGAGATTAAAGTCAGCCAAGTAAAGGAAGGACAAAAGGCCGAGTGGAGGGAAATTACCTAATGTAGAGCTTCTGTTATTCTTTTCCTGTGGAGTCTTCCTGTGTTGCTTTCTGGACAGTGTGTGTGGCAGTAGGCATAGAGCATTGCAGACCATTAGGAGAGCTCACCTGAGTCTCAGAAGTCAAGTGTTTTTATTCGGGCGTGATCACAGACTGACCACATGATTGATCTTCAGTCTTCAACCCTTTTCATCTTAAAAACAAAAAAAGTAGAGATAGGCACTCATTTTTGTATAAGCTGAGACAACCAGAGGAATAGCTGATTTCTTGAATTATTTTTGCTCTATTAATCAGTTTTCATATATAGTCAGTCAGAAGTTCTACTGTATTTAAATGAGAACCATATTTGCGAGGCAAGCCAAGAACTGACCAGTGCTCCCTGGGTTAGCCTGCTGGCACGTGCTGTGATGCATTTATTGCGTGGAGAGACCTTGAAACATCACAGAGCAGGTTTTATGTGTTCCCATGTCTGTGGCTGTGACGATCACAATATCCAAATCTTTTTCAGACCCAGTCGTAGTTCATACCTGTACTACTTTTGGGGGAAGGGCCTAATATGTTACCTTCAGTATCCTTTTTTATTTTTCACATTTCAGTTGGTATGTTCTTGCCTACTCTACAGTTTGGTTCATGTTGCCTTATGAATATGGCTTATAATAATTTTAATTTTCATCAAGTCTTCCCTGACTGCTTTCCCATGCTGAAGATGCTAACTCCTCTGAGTTTTAGAAGCAGACACAGACCTCTGTCTCAAAAAGAAAGAAAAAAGAGGTGCCAGTCATCCCACCCTTCATTATATATTTCCTCAAATGTCTACTTTTTTTTTTTTTCTGGTACCGGGACTCAAACTCATGATGTTGCACTTGCCAGGCAGGCGCTGTGCCGCTGAGCTAAATCCCCAGCTCCCTACATTTTGTTTTTAAACGTATGTTTTGGCAGTTATAAACAGTATTGAAGAGCAGTTGTATGATTATTTGAGAAATAATGTCAGTAATAATGGCAGCGGTATTTTATATCATTTTGCTTTTATTTTTAGGTTCATGGTTCAAAATCAATGAACATATTTGGTGGCTTTCGGCAGATGGTAAAAGAGGGAGGTATCCGTTCCCTCTGGAGGGGAAATGGAACAAATGTCATTAAAATTGCTCCTGAGACAGCTGTGAAGTTCTGGGCATATGAACAGGTAATTATTGTCATCTGTGTAAATGATTAACAAAGCGTTAGTAAACTGATTCGATAAAGATTAGCACACAGAGCTTTGGGGATTCTTGTTTTAGTGCATGATGATTTTTCACATGTTCTCCGTGAGGAATTTCTCATAGAGGATTTTACTAGATCAACTAGTTCCTTGTGGCTAAATTCTGGGATTCTCAACTTTATAATATTATTTATAAAGACCAACTTCTTTGTTTTGTTCTAAGGAGCTCTTCAAGGACAGGTACGATTGTAGCCTATTTATTTGGGATTTTTAATAGAGGCAGGGCAGTTATGTGAGTTTTACGGAAGGCTTCCGGTCTAATCTCTGGAAGGAAAAGTTTTGAGATGAAGACCTTTGTACAATTTGACATGGCCATGATGGGAGCTGAGTTTGCAGTGAAGGTGCCATAAAGGCAGGTGCTCGGCTCCTCCGTGCGCTCTAGCACCTAGGCAGAGCCCTGGGTGGGACTCTGCTTTTTTTTTTTTTTTTGGTTTTTCTCCGGTACCAGGAACCGAACTCAAGACCTTGCGCTTGCCAGGCAAGTGCTTTTGCCGCTGAGCTAAATCCCCAGCCCCATCTGCTGTTTGTTGAATGGGTCAGTGTAAATGAATATATCAATCTCTGAATCAACTTCTCTGTTGACTTCCACTTATTTAGACCGTTTAGGATACTGTTTCAGCCTAACTTGGTAAGAGGAAATACCACCTGCAGTGGTTAAGTTTTAGAACCTCACTTCTCTTCAAGGTCGTTAGCAGCACTGTCTCCTTGAACATCTACAAAGTCATTTTCCTGTCATTTATTTCATCCTTGTTTCCCATGGACTAGAAAGGGCTTGAAATTTAACTCCACCTCATATTTTTTGTTTTATTTTAAATAGACTTGAGATTATTCTGGAGAATGTTTCATTCCTGAACAACAGAATGTTCCTGGAGAGATTACTAAATCTAGTGGTGTCCATTTCTTGCCTTAGGAAATTGAGGATCAGAGAAGAAAAGGGAAAAATATCTGTCCTCTGGGACTTTACTTAGAACCTAACTTGGGGGAAGATACTATCCTTAAGTGAATGTGAACATTCAATTCATGGCCATTAAGGGCTGGTGTTTTAGATATTCTTAGACTTTTCTGTCTTTTATAATAGGAAAGCCAGAACCTAAAATGACTAAATATTAAAAGTTAACGCCATTCTTTCAATATGCAGGAAGTTTGGCATATTTGCAAGTCCATGGTTATTCTATGCACATTACACTTTACGCCATTTGTCAGATTCTTACCTTGGATACTACCCAAGGCACCCTTTGTTTTCACCCATTCAAGCTCCGCTCTGAGTCCTTGTTGTAGCATTCTGATTTATTTACTTATTTTCTTTGAGATAGGGTCTTGCTGTGTAGTCCACACTGGCTTTGAACTCACTATGTAGCCCCCAAGCTGGGCTCGAACTTTTGGCGATCCTTCTGCCTCAGCCTCCCGAGTGCTGGGATTACAGCTACCACATTCTGATTTCTACATGCTAACTTTTCTTAGATGTCAAGAGAAAGCTCTTCATGCAGTATGGCAAAGTATTCTCATGATTTCTATGAACCTATGATGCTCCTCCATTTTCTCCCCTTCTGTCAAAAATCTATTCATCCCAGCAACTTCCTATGAGAAGCATTTCCCGAGTCCCCAGCACAAACCAGCGTCTCCCCTGCCCAGCCTCTTTAGACTGCCAAATTGCAGGATACCCAGCTTTCCACTGGTAATGAAAAACCCAATTAATTGTGGGTAAATGTTATGCCATACATGTTTTCAAATTTCCCAGAGTGCCTAGAAAGCTCCCTTCTGGGTCCAGATAAGTTCTGTTCCCGGAATAACTAGTAGTTTAGAAAACAAGAATATTTTCACCCTGGTCTGTCGTGCTCTCACACACACCATCAGCTTGGGATGATGCTGTGCTCTGTTTTGGGTTCTCGTCACGGTAGCAGTGGCGCTCTGTCAGTGACAGGTAGCAGTGAGGTCTGATGTTCACATGGCGTCAGCCATCGTCTGCAGACTGACTGCCCTCCATTCTACCATCTTCCTCTCTGCGCCGTGCATCCACCTGTGTACTCTGTATCCCTGCATCTCTGCTTGATATCCCAAGGGTACCTCCAACTCAACATGTCCACAGTGCCTTAGTCATTTCTCCTTCTGCTTCCCTCACTACCACCTCATCCCTATCCCTGCAGCACACATTCGCCGTTCCTCTTTCTACGTGTCCTGTGTGGTGAGTGCTCCTTATGACTCTATTCAAAAGCTATTTTCTCCGAGAAACCTTCTGTATTGTTATAGTTCCCTTTGTTTCCTTGTATTACCTTTCTTTCACACGAATTCTGATTGTTTCAGTGCTGAGTCTGCCTCATTTGTGAGACACTAAGTTTCCTTAGGCAATAGCTGCTTGCTTTTAGGCTTTTATTTCCAGAACCTTGCTTTATGCCAATAAATCCTTACTGAATGAATGAGAAGACAGAACTGCTAGAGCTGGAATTTGAGCCCAAGCTTACCTGAGGCCCCAGCCCCTTAAGAAGGGAAAGGTGGGTATTTCAAGCAGTAGGAGTAGCTCATGGATAGACGTGTAGGCACAAGAAAGTATCATGCACTGGAGGAATGGCAGGGGGTTTATTGTGCCTCAAGGGTAGTAGAGTACATTTCTGGGAAGATAATGAGGCACCATGGTTGGACAGATAGGCAGAAGCCAAAGATGATAAGATTTCATCATGAATATGATGGGACTTTTGTGATATTCGATGCAGAGAGGTGAAATGAGTACAGTTACATTTAAGACAGATCATCTTGGGAAAAAATTGACAAAAATATTAGAAGGGAGTGAGGCTGGACTCTAGTCAGGAAGGTTATCTAAGGGAGTATTTAGGTAAGTCAGGTAAGAAATGATGAACACCAGTATAAGGTGATGGTTGTACAGATTGGAGAAGAGAAGAATGAATTAAAAAAAACAGAAAATACAATCAGAACTCACTGACTGCTTGGATATGGAGGTAAGAAAGAGAGAGGACCCAAGGATGATATTATGGTTCCTAACTTGAGAGACTATCTGCATAAAGAATATAATGTCAGGTTCCATTCTGGACATGCTGAGTTTGAGACCTCTGGGATATGGGGGGGGGGTTGGAGGGGATGTCCAATGGGCAAGTGGATGGCTTATTTAGAAAATATGAGGCAGGTCTTTCATAGAAAGGTCATTACTGACTTGAGCCATTGGAATGGGTAGGATCACTAAATAAGAGTTTATGAAATGAAAAGTATTCTGGGAATAAGCCCCAAGGGAGGACTAGGAAAAACTTGGAAATGAGACTGAGAGGGAATAGCCAGAGGGACAGGAGGAAATCCAGAGTGATGACCTAGAAGTTAGTGGAAGAAAAGGGTGTCCTGAGGGCTCACATGGTACACAGTGGTGAACATAATGAGTGTCTTTTAGGATTTATTAACCCAGAAATGAGAGAGAGAGAGAGAGAGAGAGACACTCTTCCAGATTATACCCCTAGTGGCCCACCTCAAACCAAGCCCCACTTTCTAACAGAAAGTCAGTTGTAGCATCCCCATAATCCAGTCACCCCAGAGAACCCTACTTCTGAGCACGTGAGCCTTCTGGAGGACATTCTAGATCTAAACCACAGTGCTAAGTAAGTCACCATTCCTGAGAATGAGGGAGAAGGTGGTATTGGTGGCTGGAGAGAATGAAGAACGAAAAAGATATTCTTGCAAATGTGAGAAAGAACTGAAGCTGACAGAAGGCCTGTAGAGCTCAGTTTTAAATCTATAGGAGAGTCAAATTCTGTGGCCCTGGTAAACAGTTGAAGTCTCTAAGATGGGGCCTAATCTTTGCGACACATTGTTATGCCTGGTGTTTGGATGTCCCCTCAGTGTTTCACGTTTCTATAGGTGGGGCTTTTTCGGAGAGGTGACTGGATCTAGAGTGTGTGATACTGGATTTGATTCATGGTGCAATGCTAGGATCAAGGGCACTAGAATTAAGGATGTGAATGCTACCACTCCCTAAGCACCCTGGATAAAATATAAGGGATATGAAGAGCTGTGGTCATCCCTTGCTGCTTTTTTACCTCCTCCCTGCCATGAACTATTTCTGCTCTGTGATGCTTGTCTGCCACACCACCCTGCCTTGGAGCCAGCTGATTATACACTGAAACTTACAAACTGAGAGCTAAATAAACCTTTTCTCCTTTAACTTTGGTTGTTAGGTATTTTATCTCAGAATAAGAAAAGTAACTAAGATACATGTTAAGTGTCTGGCACCTGACTCATCTTTAAACGAAAGTATGGGGAAAAGATCTAAAAATTATGAAAACTTTATTTTCTGTGAGCCTGGGAAATAATACTGTTATTGATTTAGCAAAGGAGCAAAGGTCAAATCCATGAAATATCTGTGTTCTGTGGAAATCTTAACTTGAAGACCACTGTCAGATAAACTGGGTGAATATCAGTGTTTAAGACTTGCTTTTCTGGTAGGTGTGTTACTGAGAAGTAGGAAGGAGCTGCAGGATAGTCAGGTCCTATCCAGAGCTATTAAACTATGCAGCTTTCCCATTGCTGAGATAAAATACCTGACATAGACAATGGAAAAAAGGTTTATTATGGTGTCATAGGGTTCAGTCCATGGTTGGCTAATTTAGAGGCAGAAATGACACGGTAGAGGAAGGCTGCTCAAACCATGGCAGTCCAAAAACTGAAATAGTGAGGCAGGGGGTGGGGTGAAGAAAAGGAGGAGGAAGAGGAGGAAAAGGAGAGGGGAAAAAGAAGAGGAAGAGGAAGAAAAGAGAGAGAATAGAGAATTCTTCCCTCCAGTACCACACTTAATATCATAGTACCTCTTCATATCACATTCAACTAGGAACCAGATTACATCCCTAGTATAATTTTGGAGAGACTTTTGGGATATTTTAGATCTAATTTGGTATTGTCATAGTTACCTTGGGCTATCATAACAAAATACCACTGATTGTGTGGTTTAAACAATCTAAATGTATTTCTTACGTTATAGAGGTTGGGAAGTCCAAGATAAAGGGACCAGTCAATTTGGTTTCTAGTGAGGATGTCTTTCTGTGTGCTTAGATGATCTTTCCTTGGCATAGGCATGAGTGGAAACTCAGATGTCTCTTCTTATAAGGATAATACAGTGAGGCCTCCACTCTTATGACCTCATCTAACCCTAATTACCCATCTCCTAATACCACACATTAGGGCTCAGCATATGAATTTTGGGGCAGTACAGTTTAGTCTATACCAGGTATTAATGTGCATTTAAAAATATATTTGTACAGTACAAGAAGTTGCTCACTGAGGAGGGACAAAAGATAGGCACCTTTGAGAGATTTATTTCTGGTTCCATGGCTGGCGCAACTGCACAGACTTTTATTTACCCCATGGAGGTAAGTACCATTGTGAAGTTTGACTGCTTATTGGTGTTTGTATCAGCTAGCTACTGTTGTGTGTCATAAGTTATCCCAACATGGACGGTTTAAAAACCAAGCATTTGTTTTCTCACTGTTTCTATGGACCAGGAACCTGGCTTGCCTGGTTCTAGGTTTTTTCCAGCCTTACTGTCAAAATGTCAGCCAGGGCTGCACTCACCTTAGGCTCAGCGGGGGTGGGTCTGCTTCCAAACTCACTCATGTGGATATTGCCTGGCCTCACTGGCCGTTGGCTGGACGTATTGGTCCATTGTTATATGACCTTTCTATGGGCTTCACAACATGATATCTGGCTTAACAGGTGTGTGTGTGTGTGTGTGTGTTTGTGTGTGTGTGTGTGTGTGAGAGTGAGAGAGACAGAGACATCGAGAAGGAACTTGCAAGAGGAGGTTTTTAAGACGGAAACTGCTGTTTCTTGTCACTTCTGCTATATTCCATTGGTCACATAGAGCAACCATGGTAGAGTGCAGAAGGGGACCACACACAGCTGTGACTACTTGGAGACAAGGTTTGTGTTGGAGGCTGCCTTAGAGCTGGCTGCCATGGTATTGATGAAAATTATAATTCAGTTCCTCTCCACAGAGTTTCTGTACCATGAATTTAATAATAGAACCTCAGGATTTGATTATAGGATGGTAATCCTAACTGCATACTGCTACATAGTGCAAGAGTTGGCGGAGTGTAGACCTGTGGACAGTTTAGAACAGCCTCAAACAAAGAATGGTTTTAACATTTTTAAAGGGTAGATAAAATCAAAGCAAAAGAAAACCAATGAGTAAGCAATAGGCACCTGGTATTTTAGGCCCACATCGTCTAAAAAATATACTATCTCTGGTCTTTACGGAACACATGTGCCAACTTCAACTTTAGGGGAGAAATAATACCGTAGCTATGAATATTTTTATTGATATAACAAAGGCTTTTTAAATAATTGCTAAGACCTAAGCAAGATAAGTACCTGTTCTTCCTTTTATGTCCTCCAATTCAATGATAGCATCACCCTCCACCTCCTATGTCTTAGGCTTCAAGCTAGAAATTCTAGAGTTATCCTTTACGTGAGCCCTTCCCTCACTTTCCACACCAAATGGTTTTATTTTGGTATCAATAGATTATGTGTTCTCCATTTCCTCTGTCACCTCTCTCAGACAGATCCTCTTTACAAAAATGAGTTTTCTGGTTCTGGCCTTAGCCCCTCAGTAGAAATAATAAACAAGAGAAAACATAAAATCAAATAGTCATTTGAGTGACAACACATGCTAGGTATTATTTCTACCCCAAATTTCTTTTGAATTTGATGATGCTGGAGTTAATATGAGCCATACTATTTTGTTAAATTCTTTCACATCTAGGTTTTGAAAACCAGGCTGGCTGTAGGCAAAACTGGCCAATATTCTGGAATGTATGATTGTGCCAAGAAGATTTTGAAACGCGAAGGTGTAGGAGCTTTTTACAAAGGTTACGTTCCCAATTTATTAGGCATCATACCTTATGCGGGCATAGATCTTGCTGTGTATGAGGTGAGTTTATAGCATTGCTTTGAATCTACAAACGTAGTTGTTATGGTTTGTGTCTGCATGTCCCCCCAAATCTTCATGCGGTCATTGGGCCGGCTTCTATTCTAGATTTTTGATTGATCCATAGTCCAGGGCTGGGATTATGGATGTGAGTGCTACACCCACCCTGGGGTGGATAGTTTGCATACAGTGTAAGGGAGGGAAAGAGGCTGCTTGCTACCACTTCACCCTTTTGGCTCTGGTTACTTTTGCTATCTGCTGCCTCCATGAACTGTTGCCCTCTGCCATGTGCCACTCTGCCTTGGAGCCAGCCAAGTATGGCTTGAAACCTCCACAAACTGTGAGCTAAATAAACCTTTCCTTTCTTAATTCTGGCTGTCGGGTATTTTGTCTCAGCAACGAGAAAAAAAGTAACCAAGATAGTAGTTATATAGCTAGTATTGCTAGAATTTGATTTTATATACAGAAGTAGGTAGAGGAAATAGTTTGTGACCAGACTATGGAAGGATGTTTTCTTTGATAGTATTTTTCAAGTACCTTTGATTTGAGACCCCATATGGGTGGGATTACATTTGTATTAGATTTCCTTGTGCATTATTTTAGTTAATGAAGAAAATGGACTCAAGTTCAGATACAGTTTTTCAGCTTAGAAGATGGTATGATGGTGAGAGAGGGACAAAGTAAGTAAAAACACTACATTTTCTACTTTTTTTTTGGTACTGGGAATTGAACTCAGGACCTTGCACTTGCCAGGCAGGTGCTTGTGCTGCTGAGCTATAATCCCGGCCCTACATTTTCTTTAATTTCTTGAACTATGACATTGACAAAGCCAGCTGACTAGTAGTATTGATCCCTTGTACTGAAGAGACAAAACTCAGAATACAAACCCTGGATCAACCTTACCACATAAATCATTTGATAATTTATGAACCTGACAAACATTTATTGAGTGGACACCATCTGCAATCTGCTGAGTTAGATAGGACTAGGTTTCAGCACCTGCCTGTAAGAAACTGAAGACTTGGTAGAGAGAGAGATGACAGCTAAAGGATAGTGTGTGGTGAGTTGTGCTTCTGTAGATGGAAACCAGGGCATGTGTTTGGAAAGGATCGAGTGGCTGAGTGGAGAGAGCAGGTAGGATGTAAACTGAAACCATGTCGGAGAACTCACTGTTGCTGTTTTGTTCATCGTTTTCTGTATGTTGTACAGTTTGTACCTCTTCTTTTTTTCCCCTCCTTCCTTCCCTTGTGTATTATTGATTACTTTTCTGGTGACGTGTTTTGAGTCCCTTCTCATTTCCTTTTGTGTATGTTCTATAAATATTAGCTCTGGTCACTATTGCAAGTATGTAAATATGTTAGAGTTACAACCATCTATTGTAAATCTATTACAACGTAACTGCAATTGTATATAAAACTCCATTCTTGTCTTGGTCACTTTCTTTGTCACGGGGACAGAATACCTGCTACCTGCAAGTTATGGGAGGAAAAGTTCACTTTAGGCCACAGCTAGTAGAAGTTTCAGTCTGTAGTCAGCTGACTCCAATGCAGGACTGTGTGGCTGAGCAGCAGCAGACGGGAAGCAGAGAGAGTGAAGCGAGGAGCTGGGAGGAGGACAAAGTCTTCCAGGCCACACCCCTGGGGACTTGCCTCTCTGATTAGGCCCTAACAGCAAACCAGCTATAACCCCCCATGACCCAACCGCTGTCCCAAATCCCCACGTACAGGCATGTGTGATTGTTGGAGGAATCTAGGTACAAACTATAACAATTCCTTTACAGGTCTGCCCTCCCCCTTTGTTACCTATGACACAGATAACCTCTTTTTATATTGTGTATCCATTCACATAGATTTTCAGTTACTTTTTAATTAATGCTTTCATTTTCTAACTTCAGTATTAGATTTCAGAGTGATTATACCTACATTATAGTACTGCAGGATTTTATAGTTTCCCGTATATACACAGGGAGTTTTATGCTTTTGTATAGTTTCATGTTGCTTCTTACTGTACTTTTGTTTCAACTTGAAGGATTCCCTTTCAGGTTCTTGTAGGGCAGGTCTAACGGTGATATATTCTCTTGGTTTTATTTATCTGAGAAGCTCTTAATTTTTTCTTCATATTTGGAGGACAGCTTTGCCAATGTCTTTGTTGGTAGGGTTTTTAAAAATTTAGCACTTTGAATATAACATCCTACTTATTTCTATCTGCTGATAATCTTAAAGGATAAAAAAACTGAAAAATTTTAATGTTACATAATTTTTCATATATTGGCATATATTATTATACTTTAACATTTTATGTTTAAAGAATTGACATAACCAGGTCTGATAGCACACACCTATAATTCTAGCCCTAAGCTGAGGCAGGAGAATTGCAGGTTCAAGCCCAGCCTGGGCAACTTAGAACTTGTCTAAAAAAAAGGTGGGCGCTGAGAACCTGACTGTGTGAAGGCCCAGGTTCATTCCCAGCACTGAAAAAAAAAGTTCATGTATTTAATACACTCTCTCCCTGTTATTGCCTCATAATGAAATGCAAGAATGTAGAGTAATGGGAAAGAATGTGACCCTGGACCAGCACTCTTGATTCTGAGCCTTTGTTAAAAAGCTCCAGTGAGATGAAATTTCCTCATTTCTAAAATAAGAATATTAGATCCATGTTAGAGTTTTTGTAAAGACCAAATAAGATAATATATATATCAAGTGAGATACAATTAGTGCTATCATTATGTTATTAATACCATAAGAATGTTCTTTATGTCTACAACATTTGGTGTGCCAGTAATTTTCATGTTTGTTTAGCAGAAAATGAGCAAGCAGTCAGTACAAACCTTTCATGAAAGCAGCTGTCAAGTGAATGGTCACTATTTTTCTTCTTTCTTTGTCAGCTCTTAAAGTCCCATTGGCTGGATAACTTTGCAAAAGACTCTGCCAACCCCGGTGTCTTGGTGTTGCTGGGATGCGGTGCCTTGTCCAGCACGTGTGGCCAGCTGGCCAGCTACCCCCTGGCTTTGGTGAGGACTCGCATGCAAGCTCAAGGTGAGGTTTTGGTTAAAAGATGGCACTGGTGGAAGTTCTTCATCGGTCAGGTGATTTTAAAACTTTGAGATCTGCTGAAACAGCTGAGTGTAGTTGTAAGACACAGTTTTTCAACCTTTTTTCATCGTTGCTTCCCTAAGGTTTCACTTTAGAAATTCTTTTCCTAATATCTTCCTCTTCATGAAATTGTAATGCCAGATACATTGAATGTATATGTGTGATTTGTATACTAACAGAACAAGGTTTTTCCTTTAGACTGTGTTGAATGCATGTTTTAAGAGTATAAGGTTTGGTACCTTGATGAATTTGGGTTCAGATCCTTGCCCCAAATCTCTTTGAGGTTTTCGTGTTTTCTTCTGTGAGTAGGAATGAGAGGAATTAGTAGCAAGATATGTAAAGCACCTGGCACTTCTTACGTTCTTGGTAAATGGTAACTAGAATTGTTTTTGGTGCTGTTTTTTTTTTTTGTTTTTGCGGGGAGGGCAGTTTCCGGTACCAGGAATCAAACTCACGACCTCGCGCTTGGATTACGCTGTACCATCCTGAGTCTATTGCCAGCTTATTGATTTTTTTTAACTATGTTTTGGCTTTTAGTTCCAAAACCATCCTATCAAATATGCATTCTGTGCCTTTCTTTTCCTTTTTCCCTTTTCTCCAGGTAGTCTCACATGCTGTTGTTTCTTTAAATTATAGATCTTGGGCATCTACTGCTCCATCCTTAACCTCTTTTCCAAAGTCAACCATCCCTCGTTAGACCAAGAATTCAGTCATTAATTGATAAGTAATGAACCTTTACTGAGTGCTAGAAGCAGCCAGATGCTAGGGTTAGAGCGCTCAAGTCAGATGTGGTTGCTGTCCTTTAGAGCTGGGAAGACTTAAGTCGGGCAAGTAAATAACTATTAAACCACCTGCCCTTTGTTAGGGACGCACAGAGCAACAACTCTCAGCTGGACACTGGGAAGACAAGTGAGAGTTTGCTGGGCCCAGCAGGGGGCAGTGAAGCATTCCCTTCTGAGGAAAAGCGTGTGTGAGGCATGAGCAGGAGTGAAGATGACACATTTGAGAAGCTGAGAGAATGTCATATGGCTGCAGAGGAAAATGCAAAGTAGTAAACTAAATGTTTTGTGTGTCATCTCTCATTTAACCGTTGGAGCATGATACTAACATTGTCTCCACTTTGTAGATGAGTAACTGGGGGAAGCAGGGATTAAGGAACTTCTACATGGCTGTATATTTGGTAAATAATGGAGGTGGAATTCAGACCCAAGCAGTCTGATTCAAACTGTTTCCTAGCAGAGCCTTCCCCTTCCTGCCGGCCTCCAGGACAAGTCTTTGTGTAGCTGCCAGATTTGCCATTTCTGAAGTCAAGTTCTGACCATTTCATACCTGTTCTACCATCTTTGTGACTCTTTGGTGTTTCAGAGTAAATTCCAAAGTTCTTAGTGGGAATTCTAAACCCTTGTTGGCGTGCTTGGGAGCCCAAGGGAGATTTTTGCTGGTGAGATTCGCAGGTTAAGGAACACATGGGTGCAAGACATCAGCAACAACAGCAGGCGGCAGGGAATAGAGCAGAGCACAAGAGCAGCCTGCGTCTTTATTATATAATTCTTACACATGTTGTTAGCACATATTTACATTCTTGCATGCTGGCCTCACTGGCACACTAGTGATTATTGAAGACTAAGTCATGGTTATATCAGCATATCTCACTCTGTGCCTGCACTAGCAGGTTCATATCATTAACATGTCCTCAGTCTGAGTGGTTCCCACAAGCCATTAGTAACCTGGCCCACGTTAGTTTTTGCTTCATCTTTACTTTACCCTACCTTCCCCATGTCCGGCTACTTGGTATTGCTGTATCTCCACATCTTGGCTCTCCATACTAATAGCCGCATCTGACAGTAAGCTATTTGCTAGCTACATGTTTTTCTCCATCTTTCTAAGCCTTTAATTCCTTATTTATAAAATGGCTATGTTCAACTTGTAGAACTAGCATGAAAAGTAATCCAGTGTATAGCACATAGTAATCATTCAATAAAATATTATTACAGTATGACCATCATTTTCACAGCCAAGGCATTTACTGTTAGTTGCTATGCAAAGAGAATTATATAAAAATATATTTTCTTGGACCTGTTGAAATAATTTCATCTTTTCATTGTATTCTAGGTATCATTATGAATGCTGATTGTTTATTGTAGTAATAATGAAACATACTTGAATAATAAATCAACCTTTTTTTTAAAACTTTCTAGCCATGATAGAAGGAGCCCCACAGCTTAACATGGTTGGCCTCTTCCGACGGATAATTTCCAAAGAAGGAATCCCGGGACTTTACAGAGGCATCACCCCCAACTTCATGAAAGTGCTCCCTGCTGTAGGCATCAGTTATGTGGTATATGAAAATATGAAGCAAACTTTAGGAGTGACTCAGAAATGACATACTGAAGTTTTTGCTTCAGAATGGCTATTGAAATTTTCAACAGTCTTTTGAATGTCTTCTCCTAGAATTGCAACACATTTATGGCAAAAGAAACTATATTTTTTCCACAGAATGGAAGAGCATACCATCAATCACTGCAGATATTTGGGCTCAGCTTTGTGTATAAGGAAATTATGGTTTAAAAGGTTTTCAAAAAAGCCACACAATTATACTTTATCTTTTCTGATTTGTCCTTCTGCAGGTGTGTGCCCTGAATCCCAAATCTGAAAATGTGCTTCCTTGAACTAAATTTGCTTTGCATGTACAATTGTAAACCACTAATCTTTATTTTGGTTGGTTCAACTTTATGTCAAGTCCTTTATAAAGTAATTGTTGACTTTAAAAGTGATCAGGCAATGTAAAGACTTGTTTTATATATTTTGAATGCCTTTATAGACTTTTATAATTTGACTTACAGAACTACTAATAGAAAATCATTGTACCTAAAATATATTCTACAGCAGCTAAATAAGTATACTGTTTTTGTCCTTGTGCCTCTTCAAGTGGATTAGGAATGAACATAAGTGGCAGAATTTGTAATGAAGAGCAATAAAATAATTTATTTTAGTGAGTACTTTCTGTCTTACTTGCATTGCTGTTTGGTTCCTAGGATTATACACTGATTATCATATTTACTGGAAAATTGTCAACATAGGACATCTTATTTGAAAGATTCTGTTTATTCTGCCTTTGCTTTGAAAAGTAGCAGGGAACAAAACCCTTTTACTTGATTAGTTTCTGAAGAGCATGTATGTTTGCCTTTGTTTCCTCCTGTTTGAATCAGATTCTGTTCTAGTCAGGAAGGCTTTCCTGGGACTGTTTTTAGTAATCTTTTTAATGACCTGAAGTGAATTGCCCATGAGTAAATGTTACATGCTCATTTCCTCCTCACCAGTGAATTGTTTTGAACCTGCTGTTTTCATTTGGGTAGCACAAAGCTAAGAGAGCAGTGCAGAGTGATATTAGTGTGTGCCAATCTTATACATTAGACACCCAGAGTTAGATGAAGGGCCTGATGTGTGAACATATACATCCATATTTTCACTTGCCTCGAGTTGTAGGAAAATTTGTAGCCTTTCAAAAATTTTACTAAAGCCATTTTTGTAGTCGACCATCTTTCCTGATTTGTGATTAGAACTTAGAATATATTTATTAGTTGAGATTATTCTGAACACCTTTTAAACTCCTTTAGTTTCTAATACTATCTGCTGTACATTGCAGCATTTTCATGAAAATCTAGTGACATAATAGTTGTTTATTTTGTTTGAATCTACCTCTTTTATTTTGGAAACCAAAAGAGAAAAAATGGGCTTGTGTTTGTGAAACATTCTAAAATATAGTTTCAGTTATATTACTTTTGTTTCATAAAAGTCTCTTTTTTATATAATATGTAATAATCATGGGACTCTATCTTTAGGGTTGTTTGCACTTTTGAGTAATCCATAAAACATTAAGGTGTATTGTTAACTTCTTTTTACTTAAAAATATGGAAATGAACTACCATTTATGAAATTTCTGCTGGTGAAAAATATGAAAATATTCATAGTTCATTATGAATTTAAATTGTTGCTTGTTGAACATTTGTAAGGTATGTGATTTATCTGTGCCTCTTGTATCTTTTTAATAAATGATCTTGTATCTTTTAGAAAAATACCCCAAGTTGAAGATTGCTTGTTTCTAGCATTTGTGCACATTTACTTTTTATATTATATTAAAAATGTTTATTTTTAACATGACTTGTTTCCTGAGTTTTAAAACCATTTACAAGTAAAGCAAAAATTGTGTCAGCTTATATCATTGCGGTGGTTTGAATAATGCTCTTGCATCTGGCTCCATACAGTCTTTCTAAATATTTTGGCCTTTCCTGAGCCGCTATTGCTTCTGTCTGTATGATACATTTTGGCATAAGATGGTTTTTTTGTGTGACATCCATATTTCACATTTACCATTAGAGTTACAGTGCTGGGAGTTCACAGTGCTAAGGAGGATTCAAAGCTATAGTCTTAGCGTGGTACATCTTGTAGAATATGCTTGTATTGAAATTATTGGAAACAATTTAAGTGAACTTACTGGTAAACAATTTTAAAACTTTTTTATAATGTATATTATAAGGAAATACAAAATTTGATGTAGAAAAAGACGAGGAAAACTCTGCATTCCAACCGCAGTACTACTCAGACGTCAAAAATAATGCATCAGGCCTCTGCTACATCAGAAATGCTGCCCGATTTGTTTGCCCTAGTCTGGTCTCCCTGTCAAGCTAATAAGCTTTATGCAAACATAGGTTGTGCTGACAGTAACTTGTTCTTTGAGTATCATTCCAGGTCATGTGTATGAAAATGTGAGATGGTTTTCTCCTCCCCAGATGGGAATTTTGCAAGCCCTTTTGGCTTCAAGGAATTTCCTTTTTGGAGAAGAGGAACAAAAGAGCTGGGGAGGGCTACCCAGCAACCCATCCTGGCCCTCTGCCATGCGCAGTGAGGGGAAGCCGCCCCACCAGGTTCTGCCTACCTGCTGCTTCCGTGCAGGGCAGAGCTGGGCTAAAGTCCCAGCTGCCTGGCCTGGCCTGGCCCGCAGCTCCTGTCAGACCACAGTTGAATGAAGACACCTGTCTGCTCACCTGCAGGAGGGTGTTCAGGAAGTGTAGAAGACAAATATGTTCTTGGGGTGTCTGTTGGAGCAGACAGGGCCACAGCCGCTGTGGCATCCTCTGCTGTGAAAGCAGGAGTGTCCCAGGTCTGGGCTGTAGAGACATTTATTCCATCAGCACTCACTCTTTTGTTCTCTCCACGAGTATTTATTATGTACTGATTGTGGGCCAGGCTACTTTAGAGTGAGAGCACGTAGCACTGAGCAAAAGACTATACTTTTCATCATGGAGGTTATCTAGCAGGGAGGGGCAGACAGGAATGACGGGAATGTCCTTCTGGAAGGTGCTAGGTGCAAAAAGCAGGGGCTGCTGCTGCCAGTTGAAAAGGTAGAGACCTCCTGTTGAGAAGGTGATAGTTGAAAGGATTTGGGATCTGGACTCACTGGGGTCTGGGAAGATCATCCAGGCAGACAGAGGAGCCGGACCATGGCCCCAGGGAGGGGAACCTGGAGGAGGCCAGGATTTGGCTGGTGGCAGCGAGCCAGCAAGAGCCAGTCAGCAAAGAAGCAAAGAGAGGCAGGAGGGAGGTGGATTTGCCTTGTGTTCCACTTTCCAGTTCTGCAACAGCGGCAGCTCCGTGGGGGAAGTTCCCTGAACAGGATGCAAATAGCTCTTCTCTGGGGATGGGGCTTTTGTTATTGGAAACATTAAAAAATGGCCCCGTTTCTGGTAATCATCCTTTCCAGCAGAGTGGAATAGTTCTCCCCACTGCTGTCCCAACACACTGGTCCATTCCCAAGGGAATACGTCTATTACCTCTCATTCTCCAGGGAACATTTTAATTTTAAAAAGCAGAATTAACTAATTTTCACATGAATTAGAATTTAAATCTTAGGAAATTAACAAGACTACAGTTACCCTCACTTCTTTCTCTGGTGTCTGTATCTGCTCATGGGTTATTTGGCTTTTCCAGTAATTTATACAAGTTTTGCAATGTTGGAAAAAAACCTTTTGTTTAGTTTTGGTTGATACTGTCCTGTTTTGAATTCACTTCCACGAAGTCGGATAACAGTAAAGAGTGCTTTGTGTTTTGTTACTCCTGAGAGAGGTGTTGGTTTGGTCTGCAACCTAAAGTACCTTTCAACCCAGGCTTATTACAGAGCCCCAGATTTCTGTAGTCAGCTCTGTCTTCCACAGGTTTATACCTCGCTTGTTTCACGGTTCTACAACACGGTCTCTGCCAAGGCTTAGGGTGAATTACTGTGAACCCTGGCACCTATAATCAGTGTCTGCCTCAGATAGGCATCCTTCAGCCAGTCTTGGACACCCTATGAATGGTCCCCACATGAATCTTAGTGCACCACGATGTACAAAACATGACATTTCCTTATTTCCTTTAAATCCACTTAAGTCTGGCAGGAAGCTGTGCCATTCAGTGTTGTGCCAGTGACCTGGGGTCTTGGCCCCTGTAGACATCCAGTCCTCATCAGTCACTGCCAAGGGGCCCTTGGTTCCAGCCTGCATGGGCCCTGGTTCCAGCCGCTGCACCACGCTTGGCGTGGGAGTAGATGGGGAAAGGTGACCGGAGTTCGGCCTTCCATTCTGGAAGGTGAGGAATTGAATGGGACTTACTTCCCCAATCCGTCCTCTTTCATCTTTAGAGCACCCCTTGTACTTTCTTCTAGGATCCCTGGCATCTGTTCTGCGGGCAACTTGGGTGTTTCAAAACACAGGGGAGGCTTTAATTGAAAGTGACTTCTGTTTTTTGCTTAAGGGAAGGAAATGGTAAAGGCTTGCCTTCCTGCCTGACATGAGATGAAAGGCAAAACGTAAGCGGGGTAAATACACATTGGTATTTCACTAGGTTGTCTTGGTACAGGCCCTCAAAGCGCCTTATGTCTTGGGCGGAAGCCTAGGCAGTGGGTTCCGCACGTGGAAGGCATTGCTTGGTTCATTTGTTTTAACCTATAGAGCAGATCATTCCACCTACTGACTCCAAATTCCCAAAACCTCACCAATATGTGCAATGTGCTTTCATGACCAGATAGTTCAGGAAACAGTGTCCAGGGTAAAAAGTAAAGTGTATAACTCAGAGTTGACAGTTTTCAAGAGCACAGGGAAGAGATGTGGAAGGGAAAATTAGTTGTAATATGGGAAAGAATGATACTTCAAAGTACTGAAATTCTGAATCTTAGCTGGTTTGATGATTTACTCTTTATGGAATACTTCCACCTCATGCTTTTTTTCATCCCATCCTTGAATTCTTGGTCTAGGCTCTATTTCTGAGAGAACCTGAATTACAGCTGTCCACCACAGAAAGGTCTAGAAATAGAAAAGGAATCATTTCATTTATAGAGTATGGAGGAAAATACCAAAAGAAGCGCAAACAGTTACAAGTAGAAAGCAAGACTAGGGGTGGGAAAAGGTGGACCTAAAAGCTATGTCTTTAAACATATGTTGTACGTATGTTACTTCAGTATAAATTAAAACAATTATTTAAGACATAAAGCACAAGCAGCGCTGAGTTGCCTGGGCTCTACTCCCACCCCTTACCCTCCCTGAGTCTGTCCGTCATGTCTAAAAGACCACAGACTAAGGCAGATGAGTGCATGGATCTGAACAGATGTAAAATATTGTCTGTTGTCTTGGTTACTTTTCTCTTGTTGCTGAGACAAAATACCTGATGTCCAGAATTAAGGAAGGACAGGTTTATTTAGCTCCCAGTTTGTGGAGGTTTCAGTCCGTAGTTGGTTGGCCCCAAGGCAGAGTGGCACGTGGCAGAGGGCAATTGTTCATGGCACTGGAAGATAGCAAAAGCAACAAGAGCAAAAGGGGAGTGGCAGAGAGCAAGGCTCTTTCCCTCCCCTACATTGTATTCAAACTGCCTGCCTCAGGGCAAGTGTAGCACTCCTACCCATAACTCTAACACTGGACTGTGAATCAATCATAAACTCTAGAAGCCCACCCCATGATTGCATGAGGATTTGGGGGGACATGCAGACATAAACCATAATATTCCACCCCTGGCCCCCAAAGACTCATGCACATCCCTTTATACAAACAGCATTTAGTCCATCTGCAAGAGTTGCCAAAGTTCTAACAGTTTCAACATTGCCAGTAAGTCCAAGTACCAAGTCTCTTCCAAGATGTAAGACTAACTCTTTGCTGTGAGCTCCTGTACAAACACTTCCAACATTTAATGGCACAAGATAAACATTACTATTCCAAAAGGTACAAATAGGGGGATACAAAGTATTGGGACCACAGCAAGTCCAACATCCAGCAGGGCAAACATTAAGTCCTGTGGTTTCATGTCCAGCATTTGAAGCAATCTGTGGCACATTGTGAGCTCTAAAGGGCTTGTATGACTCTACCCCTAAGGCACTTCTGGTGGTTATAGCTCCCAGGGCTTCTCTCTTGGGCCTGCTTTGCTCCCTCCTTGCAGCTTTCCTCAGACAATCCACGTTCCTGGCTTTTCCAAACTTCTGAGGTCTACGCCACTTCTCACTTCACCCTTACAGCTTCACATACTGCCCTCTCAGGGACACATTGCCTGTCCTCCCAGGCCTTCTTTTGAAATCGAGGTGGAAACCTTCTTAACCTCAGAGCTCTTGCATTCTGTATGTGCAAAAACCAGCAGCATGTGGATGATACCAAGGTCTGCTGCTATCTGGATCTTTGGCCATAGGGGTTGAGTGCCTGGATTGCTGAGCACTCTGAACCTGATTCTGAGGAATAAATTTTCTATGCCGTCACCATTCTGGAACCTGGTGCAGCCTCTGCTACCATTCTGGAATGTGGTGCTCTGCAGCTTTCTCCTCAAAGTGAGGTCTTTTACTTTTGCAGTTTTGAGGCTGCAAAGGGTGGAGATTTGCTGCTTGTGATGCCCTCAGGCCATCTCTTTGATTCTCTTGTTCCTTCTCAGTGATGGAGATCTCCTCAGCCTTATCTTTGCAGTCCACAGCTTTACTGAAGCTTCCTTTGTGGCCAAACTCACATTTTATGTCATCCTGCTGAGTTCTTTCCTCTTGATTCTCAACATAAACCTGGCTAAAAGCCCCCCACAAGAGCCATGCCACTGCCTCAACATTCAACTGCCTTGAAATTTTTTTCCAGATTAATTAGTCTACCGCCCTTAATCTCAGT